GACTCTTCGCCGCCCGGGCCGCCGGCACCGCCGGCGTCACTGCTGCTGCTGCCCGGGCTGCTGCTGCTGCTANCGTCGGCTGGATCATACTTCAACTCCTCGAGGTTCTCGGAGTCGCCGGGGTCATCATCGCAACCGCCGTCCCCACCTGGGTCGCCGGACTCTTCGCCGCCCGGGCCGCCGGCACCGCCGGCGTCACTGCTGCTGCTGCTCGGGCTGCTGCTGCTGCTGCTGCTGCTGCTGCTGCTGCTGCTGCCGGTGGGGCTGTCACTGCCTCCGCCGAAGTCGCCCCTTCCCGAAGGGGGCGACGGGGGAACTCTGCCTCCGTCCCCGGAATCCCGTGGCCGGGTGCCGTCGGCGCCTCCTCGCGCACAAACGGCGTCGCTTGCCCTGGCCCACGAGCCTCCATCACGTCGAGGTCGGACTCACTCTCTGAGTCTCTCCCTCCCCCCCAACCTTGGCGTGATGCATCCGCTCTGCTCTCGCCCTCCCCACCCTTCTCGTCATCTGCGAGAGGTAGCAGCTGCGGGGGAGCGGGCGATGCAGCGGGCACGTGGCGCCAGGTGAGATTGCGGGTGGTGATTACGGTTCCAGCTTCGGTTAGCATGCGAACGCAGTCACGGGGGTGATTGTGGGCAGGACCAAGGTACCATCCTTTTTCGCCCTTGGGTTGCGACTTTGCTTTTCTTCTCGACTTGAACACGGCTGGTTTGAGAAACGGGTATGTAGACCCGACAGGCGGTGGGGAGTCGTGGAACATCTCGTAGGCGGATTTGTCTCCCTCGTTTGATTTAGTGGCGGTGCAGTTCAGCTGATGGCATGCACACGAAATGGCCTCGGCCCACAACCCGGGGTGGCTCGGTGCGTCGGGGAACAGTTNAGCGGACGATGCAGCGGGCACGTGGCGCCAGGTGAAATTGCGGGTGGTGAATACGGTTCCAGCTTCGGTTAGCATGGGAACGCAGTCACGGGGGTGATTAAGGGCAGGACCAAGGTACCATCCTTTTTCGCCCTTGGGTTGCGACTTTGCTTTACTTCTCGACATGAACACGGCTAGTTTGAGAAACGGGTATGTAGACCTAACAGGCGGTGGTGAGTCGTGGAACATCTCGTAGGCGGATTTGTCTCCCTCGTTTGATTTAGTGGCGGTGCAGTTCAGCTGATGGCATGCANTTCTTCTCGACTTGAACACGGCTGGTTCGAGAAACGCGTATGTAGACCCGACAGGCGGTGGGGAGTCGTGGAACATCTCGTAGGCGGATTTGTCTCCCTCGTTTGATTTAGTGGCGGTGCAGTTCAGCTGATGGCATGCACACGAAATGGCCTCGGCCCACAACCCGGGGTGGCTCGGTGCGTCGGGGAACAGTTGCGTCGCTTAGATGCGTGACGCAAGCGCGGCATCAGTGATCAACCCTAGCGCTCGCTCCGCTAAACCGTTGTATTTTGGTATGTGAGGGGGGGTGAACTCTTGTTTGATGCCGTGTCTGCGGCAAACTTCCGCAAACTGCCCCTGGAACTCGCCGCCACCGTCGGTACGTGCGATATAAACCTCACACGGAACCCCTTTCGTTCGGTAGTCCGCCAGGAACTTCTCAAACCCAACCGCTGCATCAGACGTGTGTTTCAAGAAGAAAACACGCGTCCAACGGGAGATATCGTCTCTGATGATCAGTGTGTACCAGTTGCCACCAATGCTCCCGTTTTTCATCTTTCCCCCAAAGTCGAGATACACGCGAAATAACTTCATATCTGCTCGTGTGCTTGTGCTCTTCTGGACGGGTTTCACCTGTCCCTTGGACATCGAACAGCCAAGACAGGGTAGCAGCGGTCCATCCGTCAGCTGCACTCCCTGCTGCTCCGCCGTGATCCTGAGCAATGTCTCGTGGGCATGGCCGTGCGCGAGGTGGTACTCGTTGAGGTCAGTGGGGTTGGCTGCTTTCGCATCGCCAGGAACAATGAGTGCGGCACAGGCGGTGTGTAGCGTTGGCTTTATTTGATAGCCTCGTTGGGTCAGCAGCTTTCCAGTCCGGGGGAACCACACCTCCCCCCCGGCTTTCGTAGTCAGCGTGAGGCCCCCCTTCATCCCCGAATACGCGTGGCCCTTNATCGCCAGGAACAATGAGTGCGGCACAGGCGGTGTTTAGCGTTGGCTTTAATTGATAGCCTCGTTGGGTCAGCAGCTTTCCAGTCCGGGGGAACCACACCTCCCCCCCGGCTTTCGTGGTCAGCGTGAGGCCCCCCTTCATCCCCGAATACGTGTGGCCCTCCTCCGCCAACGAAGACAGCGAGAGGAGGTTGTAGGGGGCCTCTGGTACATGGGCAGCATTCAGTACTGGTACGGGTACTCCACCATCTTCCGTCTGTAGGACTAAGGTCACATCTCCGTATCCTAGAAGAGGAACGGGGGCCTTGTCGCCTCCGATCCCCTTCACCCAACCGCTACGCTCACGGTAGTTCACGAAGTTGTCTGCACATCGGAACATGGAGCACGTGGCCGCTGTGTCGGCCACGTACACCGCCTGGCCTTGTTCCACATCCCCCACTAGACCTACTTCACCAACGGTACCACACTCGCCTGGGGGGACTGCCACGGCACAAAACGCCTGGTCTTCCACGGAGTCCACGTCGCTCTCATGCTCCACCACTTGCGCTAGGACGGCCTCCTCCGTCGCGCACATTTCTTTGGTGTGGCCCCACCCCTCGCAGCGCGCACACCACGGCAGGAAGTCCTTCTCGTTGGTAGTGCAGCCGATCGCTTGATGTCTACGATGTCCACACCTAAAGGACCGGCCCGGGAACTCATAGTCCCCGCCACCGCCGCCATCGGCGCCTCCACTGCTGCTTCCCTTGCTCTCCTCGACTCCTCCGGATCCGCCTGAGCGGCCGCCGCGACCCCCGCCGCCGCCGCCGCCGCGACCGCCTCCGCCGCGGCCACGACTGCTGCTGCGGCCACGGCCCCCGCCACGACCACGACCTTGCCCCTGACTCCTACTTGAGTACCGCTCCCTGCGGCCCTCACCGTGGGCGAAGTACGCTTGCTCTGCGCCCTTCGCCCCTTTTCCTTTCCCCTGCTCCAGCTTGTCCTTGATTGCCTTGGATTCGATCATTACTTCCTTTAGCACACCGGTCCGCGTCAACTCCTTCGCGTGTCGCAGGTTGTGCATTGTCATGGCATACTCGTCCGAAAGGGCATCCAGGAAGAGGTGAAGGACGAACGTTTGGTTGATAGTTGGTCCTTTCTCGGTTAAGGACTTTGCGGTTTGGAGCATCTCATGGAGGGCGTTTTGGAGGTTTTCACCTCTAAAGATCTTGGTCGACGTCAGGGACTTGAGGCGCTCTGACGGCTGTACACATGGTTCAGGGTCGTGTATGGTCTTTTGCTCACGAAGAGCTCCCTGGGGCGTCTCTTCCCTCTTCATGATTTTCCGATATTTTTCTTTCAACGCGTGAGACAGGAATCCCATCTGCGTGCCCTCTGTTGTTGCCGGTAGATCTAACCAGTCCGTATCCAAACACACGGACATCTTCTGGAAGCTTCTGGAAGCGTTCTAGACCTAGGTTACACTTGATACTTATCTAGAACGTAGTAGGGCTTCCAGAATCATTCTGGAAACATTAGATCTTTCGTGTGATTGGTTTATTTGTCCGGTATTCGAGGAGAGTGGTGCAGCCCTAAGCTCGCCACCCCTCTCACTCTCATCTAGCACCCAT